CCCTGGGAGAAGCTGGTGCTGCTAACGGCCAATGGTGTCATGGCCGGCTATTCCTTGTAGCGGGGTCTGGGGCTATGCAGCTGGTGAGGTAGCTGCTGGCCAGGGCTCCCTGAGCTGCTAGTGAATTGAGCACCCAGAGGCTGGGCAGGGTGGGACGCTGAACACCTGAGGGTCCCTCCTCTGGGGATGTGTCACCAGATGGGTCAGGGAGAGGCAGGCGCTCAGATAGGCTGCCTGTGCTGGTGTAAACCACATGGCTGCGGCCTGGGTCCCGGGGTGCCAAAATACAGGTCAACTGTCACAGAAAGGGCATAGTTTTGCAGGAACAACCAGACCAACAACTGTGTTCGGTCATGGGCACCCACTGTGCCCACAAGGCCTTGACCTTGATGCAGCACTGCCACGCCAACCAGGAGTGCCTGCGGTCGCACACCCCAGCCAACAAGGCCTTGTATATGTGGGTGTTCAGGTGCCCACTCCACTATAGCTCCCAGAAACCCCCAGGGGCTGGGAAAAAAGGAAGAGGAAGCTTGAGGCTGGAGTTAAAGCAGAAGAGGGAGTAGAGTGCATATGGAACCCAGTAAGCCCTACACAGAGAAGCATACAGTGGAGCTGGAGAAGGACTGAGGGCTGAAGGAGCTGGACTCAGACTTAGGGGCAGCTGCAGGATGTTTGAGCACTCTAGGGACTAAAGGCTTGTTTGGGGACACCTCCGGAGATGTGGGGGAGAAAGTAAGGTACTGATTGTATGTTACCACAGTGCTGATATTTCTTTACCTTTTACCTGTTTCCTCCCTTTGCCTGTTTGCTTGCGGCCCTAACTCCTATGCTTCTGGTGCCAGTTTCTGGGGCTGCAGAGTTGGCACAAATGTAAGAGATAGGAACCAGGAGATAGAGATAGAGATAAGAGATAGGAGATAGAGATAAGAGAGAGGAACCAGGCCATTAATTCTCTCTGGACATTCAAGCCACAGAAAGTTTTTTTTGGATAATGTAACAACCTTTTGTACAGTTCTGCTATGTTTCTCTCTTCAGGAATAGGAATGGGAGTTTATGGATGCCCTGACATGTTACCAACATGTTGATGCATGTTACAGAACCACTATCACAAAACGCTACCCAGGAGCTGTACAATTTCTAGGACAAAGAGAAAATTCTGTTCACCAGTTACGTGTACATTTCTCCTTCCAAACATGTATTTCCTGAGAGCCTTTTTACTCAGTTTCCCCCTCAAAACCACCAGTTACAGATGCAGGATTTAAAATAAAAAAATGCTTTCCATGTTGCAATTAATATACTTTTGATGAGAGACCACTGTGAGACAGTCAAATCCTATCGTGCTTGCCATAATACACACTTTCATCAAGCAGACTGCTCCTGTACCAAAAAGCTTACAGTAATCTCAGTTTCTTGTTGGCTGAAAATCATAGACAGCAGAATTTCACTCTACGATAATGGTGCATATCAAGATTGCATCAGTGAAAAATTGGTATGATATCAAAACCAGGCTCACTGTCTATTCTGTCTTTTGATGAAAAACTGAAAAGGCAGAGGAACTCAGAAATTAAGCTCTCCAAAATGACAGGCAATACTGAAAAAAAAAAAATCACAAATAACTGGCAGAAGCCTGTAACAATAACATAAGAAATGCATGTTTGGCAAGAGTGCATAACTGATTGAGCATAACTTTTTTTTTTTTTTTTT